TCACCAGAGCAGGCTAGGATCAGCTGAATCAGCTACAGAAAATTTGTGCACAGCAACAGCAGCCAATCACATCAAATTAATTTCTTTTGTACCCTGTTCAGTGCCAACTGTTCATAATGAAACATTTAAGCTGCTGAAACATTCTTCCTGCTGACTAAATTTAAAACCAATCTTCTGTAAGCCAGAACCAAGCAAACTCCAAATGTTATTCTCCCAGCTGCAGCTTCCAAATATGATTTTTCTCTGGAGCTAAAGCAACATTCACTCTAAATCACCATTTTCCAGCTGCTTAAAACCAAGGTGTATTAATTATTTGTCCTATATTGGGCATTTTGCCAGAAAAGAACTTTTCTGCCTTTCCAAAGGGAAACTTCCAAGCTTTTGCCAAATTGGCAAACAAATTTCTCATGTCTATGTCTGCAATGAACATTTTGGTGTATGAGAATCAGAAGGGGGACAAAGTTTGGGTTTTATGGGCAAGACCTGCTGATAATTACTTCTAAATTACCACAAATCTTACAACTTATCCTCCAAACTATCAAGTTATGTAGCTGGTGGAGGTTTAGTCATCTGGCACTTAAGGCTGATGAGCATGACAATCTCTGCAAGAGTTTTTCTGGATGCTACAGAGAACCCTGCACCCCCAGAGGAGCCAGACTTGGGTTGTTTGTACATCCTTAGCACTTTGCTTTTCACCTCGTTTTAGCTAGTTGTTCTCCCCCTCAACAACACAAGGAAAACTAATTCTTTCTAACAATATAAAAGTAAAAATTTAAAATATTGAGCCAATCCCCACTGCTTACCATTTACACAAGAGACTAGTCACCATTTCTGCCTGAGTCTAAGTCAGGACAGTTGACCAAAGAAGTTCTTTAAAGGAGGTCCAGGAGGCAAAGGTATAGCTGTGTACAAATCCAAGGGTCTAACAGGGCTGAGGACTTTGCTGGTTGATTCAGACCCTCCGGAACATCATCTGCTATTTTGGGAAGCGTTTGCTGTGGCTCAGCATTAAGCAGGTAGCATGAGCAAGGGTTGCTGAGAATTTATGTCTATTGATGTCTCATTTAGAGAGCTACATTGCTTAATTCCGAGGCAAAAATATCTCCAGAGGATCAAAGGAAGAAACCTGCAAAATTGAATCAGTAGGAGGATGAAGCATATTCCCTGAACAAACATTTCATAAACACTGATAGATAAAAGAATCCATTAGTAAATTCTTTTGTCAATACCCTGGATTTGTTGTATTTCCACATCTAAAATGTGTAGACAGAGCATACAACAGCAGGAAAACATTAAAACCTCACACTCAGACTGACAAAGCCTCTTCTATGTATATACACATAAAACCCCAGAATGGTCAAGCCATCTGGGAAAACCAAGGTCACGCAGAAACCTTGAACAAAATCAGTAGAGCTGTACAATTGGAAACATTTTATGAGTTCTCCACAAAGGCAGTACTTAAAATGGACAAAACAGCTCCCCTTGAAAGGCAGCCCTTCCTAACACCACAGCATGCAGTTAGATCTCTTCCCCTTCAAACCTTTTCTCCAGAGGAAGAACACTGCTGATCCTTCCAGGGGATCAAGCAGTCCCATCTACTCCAACTCTCTCCTGACCAGTGACACTGGAATACAATCAGCTCAATTACAGGTGGCTGCCTTAGCACCTAGAAAAGTCCTGCCACTAATGCTCCTTCACTATTTGGGGACAATGCCTTGGGGACAAGGCGAATACCTACGCCTGCTATCACACACACAAAAAGATGGACACAAAACTTAGCTTCAGGGTATGTACACAGGGTGAGAAAGACCTGAAATATCGATGATGTCCTTGAGTTGCGCCAGGGGAGGTTTAGCTTGGATGTTAGGAACAATTTTTTCCACAAAAGGGTTGTCCAGGGCTGTCCCAGGCTGTCCAGGGCAGTGGCGGAGTCCCCATCCCTGGAGGGGTTTGAAAGCTGTGGAGATGTGGTGCTGAGGGACATGGGTTAGTGGTGACCTGGCAGTGCTGGGGCAATGGTTGGACTTGATCTGAAAGGTCTTTTCCAAGCAAAACAATTCTATGATTTTATCTCTAACACCAGTCTGAGCCAAGTAAATGAACTTGCCTATCTGGCTGCATAAATTTCTGTAACAGAACTCTTTTCAGTAATGCTAAATATGAGATCACCTCAAGTTTTTTAATGGTTGTAGCTTGAGCCCATGCACTTAGAAAACCTCTCCTGCCTGCAGCATCCTCGGAGGCAGGCAGAACAAATCCAGCCTCTGTGCCTCCAATGCAACCCACTCCTCAGTGTACCAGAAGGGGAGGCTCATGCCATCCCCTCAAAATTACCTTGAACCACAAACTTGCCCACAGAGCAGCTCCTCATGCAGCAGGAGGTTAAAAACACAGCTTCAGAGAAATCAGCCCTCAAGACATCGAGGCTCAACTTGTCACGAGGCACTAGATCAGCAGTGGGGACAGAGGAAAGGCACTGCTGACACTGCTTACCCCTGCTCAGCCCGAGGACAGGCAACCTTTGGTTTGAGACTGCAGAAGAACTGAGAAAAGGGCAGGTGGAAGCAGTAATATAACAACCTGGCATCGTTCCTGCCCTGTCCCATCAGGTCGTCCTGCCTTAGGCCTGGTTCGAAGCTAGCCCTGCTCCCTCACTGCCCTCCTGGGCTGGTCTCCCCTCCCCTCCTCTCCTCCATCTGCCCCTTCAATCACAGCCATGGTGGGACCCATTCACCTCACTACGTACGAGGAATAAAACATCCAACAAAGGAAGAGTTACAGCTTTCCTCGCATCTCCCCCTTCCAGCAGGACTGCCACTGAAGGGCCATTTTATCACTTGCAGCTGCGGTCATTCTGTGACAACCTGCTGTGCTCAGAGGCAGATGAGACCCACACATTTGATCTGCATTAAGCCTGTTTCATGGCTTCACATTTCTAGGTACATTCCTAACAGCAGCACCAACCACCAAATCTTTTCATCCCTCCAACTACTCAGTAGCTCCTGTGAAATCTGTCATTTATCTTTCCTACCAGGCTTTTTTTTTGGTTCAGCATCAGTGAGCGATCTGTGCCCCAAATCCATCAGCCACAAACAAGGGCCAGCTCTTCTCCAGCTCATCAGCTGGACAACAGCAAATTCCCTATCTTTACAGCAGCAATGTTTATTAGCAGAGCTGCTTTCCATTCCCTTCAGACATGAGGTGCAAATTAACCAGCTTTTCACACGTACTAGCTAAGAAACCCAGCACTTGGCTCTCGGGTGCCATGAGCCCTTGGTTGTATCCATCTTTAGGGGCTCTTTTGGAACACAGCAGCTGTTTGGCCGTGTTTGGTTTACGATGTTCCTTTAGCACAACGCAAGGAGAGGAGAAATGAAAGCCTGAACGGTATCCTGTGATAACTTTGCTGTAGAAGCTCCCTGGTTTTTGAAGATCCCCGAAGAAGACACGGTGAGCAAGTCCATCTGCTCACTAGAAACACAAAGCCCTCCTGTAGATTTTGGTGGGGAGAGGAGGTGGGGGAAAGCGGACAGCACAGCTTTGGAAAAACTGTGGCAGGCCACAAGATTTCCTCTGCAGTAAGACAGCGGCTCAGATGAACAACAGAAGAGAAGCTGCTTCCCAGAACTCAACCCTCTGCTGTCCAGTTCTGTCAACCTGAAAAAACTCAACTCCCTAGAGTCTTTCTGCCTTTTTCTTCTGTCCGGGCCAAACATTTCCAGCCCCGCTGTCAATTCACAGCATCTCTCCCCAATGGGTGCTGGGCTCTTAAGATTTCATTTTCATCCTCCTAGCAAACAAGAAAACAAGGGAGTCTCCAGAAAACAAATACCCCTGGAAATACCCAGATGATTTAAAGCTAAACTCCTCCAGTAATCAGCTGGTGACCAGCTCAGCCCCTGCACCATGTCAATTATAAACAATTAAAAGGTAGCAGGAAGGAGACACTGAAGTATTAAACAGATTTCTCTCTAGGTATCTGGAGGTTTCTATTGCTGCCAATCACACCCTTCAGATTACTGTCTTGTCTGTCAGTCATCCCAGCCCTTACATGAACATGTGAGCTCAGGTTAACATTTGCAAGCAAACTGATTAAAGCCCAGTTATGCCTCTGCACATGAAAGTCAAAAATATCAGCAAAACTTGGCTATAATTTTTAACTGGCTTGGGAGTATAACCTCAAACTGCTGGAGAGTGAAAACTCACACAAGGTCAGCAGGCAGCTCCAGCCACGCCAGGAAAAAGACACTGATATGAAAAGCAATTGCAATAGCTGCATTTTGGAGAATGTTTTATACAATCCCACATATGCACACACATTTTCATTATGAGTAGCTTGCAATGAACTATGATAACTAGGGGACAGAGACTTCTGTGACATTGCAGCTATTTTCCACATGCATCACCACTCCCTTTGCAAGGAGCGAGGCAAGTTGCTGACACCACAGGAAGGAATGTGAGAAACTCTGCTTCGGCACTCAGTTACACAAAACTGCTAAAAAAAGAAAGCTGACATACTGTGAATCTGGAGGAAAACATGGCTTGGTGTCTATCTTCCCACTCCCCAGATTGCCTGCCACTACTCTGAAGGTATTCACACTCAGCTTCCACATGCCACTGAAATCAAACACATCTGATCAGATGTGTGATTGTGCCATCCAAAGGGGAGACTGGAGAATCTCCAGTGGTACTTGGCCTTCTTTCAAAAAAATCCTTGGGGAGCCAAGCTTCTCAGCTCTTTGGTGCCTGGACAACATCTGTGGTCAGTAGGAAGGTAAAGAAATAGTGTCTGTGAAATTGAGTTGTAGGGCAGAGGAGTTTTTTCCTCCTGCACTCCTTATCTCCCAAGGCAAATATCTCGAGACTTACCACTGCTCTTCCACCTGATCTGCAAGTTCAAGGGCTGGAGTTCTTTCAAACTCCGGAGGGAGGAATTGAAATGGCAGCAGCACTCCCTTGCCTCATTTTACCCAGTTGAGTTCAAACAAATGCTCACTCACCCCTCTTCTGCATGAAGATGAAGAGGTCATCCAGGAACTCTTTCCGTTCAGGATCACTATCCAGTTCATAGAGCTGAAAGGAGGGAAACAAAAATGAAGGCACAATCCACACCAAGACAGAAAAAGTATTAATATTAGTTTCCTCCAGTGGGCAATCTGGTGTTAGCAATGGAGGGGTGAAAGGCAGGCGCAGGCAAAGAGGCAAAATGAGGGAGGATTCCTGAGCATTTGGGGGGACAAGGCTGCAGAGACAATTTGAGGACCTTGCTCAGCCTCTCAGTAACTTGCCCAGGCACAGCAGAGCCCAGCACCCTGAAGGGAACAGGGTTCAGCTCAGCTAACAGCACTGCTGCAGAGCAGGGGATGAGACCACCTGGAAGCAAAGGGCAGAGAAACTGTTCAGCTGAAAATAAAGAGGCAACAGTCAAAAGGAAGGTGACAGCAATTCAGGGCCCATTAGTGGTCCCTAACTTTGAGGCACCAGGGAGGGGAACTCTGCAGCTTCTCCCAGCCTCATGATTCCCTCCTTCAGGGATTGTCAAGTAAGTGACAAACTCCAAGTCCCTTGAAGGAGATGAAAGGACAGAGCTTTCCTGTAACTACTCATGTCTGGCAGGAAAGGCTCCTCTAAAATAAACCAAAAAGCCTTCAAAAATACCAGAAACCAGCCTGGAACCAAGTTGCTGCAGAAATCATTTCACGAAAAAGCCTTAAAACCCCCAAGCACTGAAAATAACGTTCCACAGGCAGCTTATTCCAAAGGAGAGGCACATTGTGCTGGCATTATCCTCTGGTGTTTCAGAAAGGACAGGCACAAGCATCTCCCTACAACTACCTCGTGAGCAGAAAAAACTAATCTGCACCTGACCAAGGCTGTGAGACCACAAAGTGATAGGCTAGAAGGGCTGAAGTCAAGTCTCTCCCCTGAGACACAGGAGGATATAGAACAAGACAGAAGACAATGCTATACATAAAGCATTCAATTCCTTTTCTTGTTGGCTTTGAGTAAGAAACCTGCACCCTCCATGGAATTTTTGTGCTGGTTGCAGCTACTCTTGTGGAGCAGCCAGAAATGCAAAGACTTCTTGGGAGAGATGTATTTCAGCCTCTCCATAGGTGCTGCTACTTGGTATTCATCTAGTCTGAAGGAAAAAAGTGGGGCGTTTTTGGGCTCATTTCCTGTGAAGCTCTGTGCTTCCTCACACCCTGAGCTCTGGGAAGAAAACACACCAGCATGTTTGCAGAGCAATTAGCTGCAGCCTTTCCAAAAGAGGCAGCTTAGTTGAATTCTTCTGGCTGATGTCACACGGCTGCCACATTCAGATCCATGACCACAGCGCTGGTCAGGGTTGAGAAATGAAACACTCTTCTCCCAGCTGGACAAAGTATTGACTAAGTTTCTAAATGTCAGAAGTCTGGTGGTTAAGTGTTCATTCAAACTGTATCCCAGTGACCAGAGGCAATAAAACAACCCAACAAAAATAGCAGGTTTGTAGGCAGATGGCTGCAGGACAAAGCAGTTTTCTTACAAATTCACTATATAGCAATAGTGAGGGCTCCGTAGTCACCCTCTGTCACAGATCAGGGCAAGAAGGCCCCCATTACCCCCTCCCCAAAATCCCTGTGGATCAGACTGACCTTGGCAAAGTCTCGTGAAATTTCTCTTCCTCGGCATCCATCACCTTCATCGCTCCAGGTCACGTTGCCATTCTAGGGAAGAGAGAAATGAAAGGGTGAACGAATTGCCAGGGAAAGGCAACAGGGGCAATTCCAAAAGGCTGGAAAATGTGTTTTTGGGGGCATGAACACACACAAGAGTAGCTGTGGACTTAGCCCAAATAGACTAGAAAGGTGGAGACGTTTGTGCATTTGTTACAGCATGCTCCATGTCCATCTTTTTCTCAAGGGCACATCCTGGAGCCTCTAGTGAAAGGTGCAGGTGGTATCCAGACATCTCTTCTGCTCACCAGGTGATATTTAACACTTGGAAATGCCCTTCTGTCCTCCCTGTTCACCTACCAAATGAAAACTGAAGAAAGAGGGAAATAATCCCATTGGAAAGCTTCTTGCCAAGCCAGTACCTTTCCTCCTGGAAACTCCTGGATGTGGATTTTCCTCACAGAAATGGAAAGCTCAGCTTTGCTGGATTAGGGTTCATTCTTCTCTGGCATTAAAAGGATTACTCTAGTTAGGTCTATTCTACTTGGCAAATCATCATCCTTAAATGATAACCATTAGAGGCAGCCTCCGGCTGTATGGCAGGGCCAAGACCAGAAGGACAACACTGAAATACGTTCAAGCACCTTTAAACCATAAACTTCTTAAAGCTTGAGTGTAGTGAGTGCTCCAGAGCCACTCAAGGAAAGAGATGAGCCAAATCCACCTGGCAAGGTAGCTTGGACTACCCTGTCCTGATAAACAGACAGCATCTGACACAAAACCAGAATTACTGAAGACAGCAAGAGGTTTCAGCACAAAAAAACACGCCACGTGTGAATTAGAGTGGTGGTCTAATATCTGAAATCTTGGAGTCATCTGGTTGTGACACATACATTGAATTAGAAAGATGAATAGCTCTTGTCAAGGCCAAGCAAAGCTACACTTCCCCCTTTAAAACCCACTGCAGTGAGCTGCTCTAATGCCTGCTGATTTAGT